CAAATAATGTCAAGTTTGCACATTTGTATGCTTGAGGTATCACCTATATGTCCTTCCACCCTAAAAGACTAAGAATGGTAATAAAATACCACACAAAACATTATCAATCACAGACAGTCTCTCCAGCGAGACACTGGGTCAGACCTCAAGCTGTTGTTGAAGAGTACTCAATGCAGGGGCAGAGCAGCGCATCAGCACTCCACAGCACTCAAATTCAAGAGCTGAGACAAAGGACAAGGCCCAGAACCATACCATCAATAAATAAATCTGCTGGTTTTCCATCCAGTTTCTGGGTTTGCATTCCCAATGCTCAGGTTCTGGTAAGCCAACAATCAGATTTTGAAATGTAGACAGATACAATGGCACAAGTCCCAGTTATCCACTGTATCTCCTTTCCCACAGCTGGACCTTTCCCATGGATACAGAAGGCTCTGTACTGCACCCCCTCTCCTTAGAGGGCTCAGCACAGTGCAGCTCTCTCCCTGTCTCAGGTGTCCCCCTATTTTCAAGGATCCTGGCTCCCAGTCTCATCCTCACAGCACTTCAGCTGATGCTCAGACCCAACCATGCCTGAAACACAAATATGGGGTGGACACAAGCCTGGGGTGAAGGCAAGAGGCCCCAGAGAACCTTGAGGGAACCCAATTTGATAAAGACCAGGAGCTGCATTCCCAGCAAAGTTCAACTATGCCTGACATGCAATGTGGGTGCTTCATTGTCTGCCTCCATCTACTTCACCTCCCTTGCAGCATCATTCCTGCAGCAGTCCCACGCTGTCTGACACACAGTAGGGCAGGTTTGCAGTCAGCCTCAGCTTGGCCTGCCCACAGATGGCCAGGGCTGGATTATCAGTACACCAGATATGTACCATAAATACACACAATGTGGTCAACTTCCCTTCCTGATCTGGCCTCAAGATAAAATTAGTCATTAGTCTCCTCCCATTTTTCAAATGTCTCACTAAAAGACTGAAACCAGCGCTGGTGAGAAGGGATGGCTTGGCTCTGCTTCCTGCCACAGATATGGCACAGCAAGCAGCAGTAGCTGAGGCACAGGAGCCACAAACACATCCAGAACTGCAGGCTAAATTACCAAACTGCTGCTAGTTCACAGAGCCTTGGTGCCCAGTTCATTTTGAAAATCAAAATGAAAGTGCCAGCTATTTCATTGACATTATTTGACCCCAAAATTTAGGTAATCTTAAACCCAGTTAAGAAACAGAAATCTTTGAAATACACAAGAAGAAAGTGAAATCACAGCTGATCAAAAAAGACAAAATACACCTGCACAGTATGCATTATACACACACACACATATCCAACCAATAGCCAGAACAGACGGAGAAACTAATGAAGCTCAAATATCATGAAACAACATTCCAAAAGTAAGGAAATTTTCATTCAAGAGAGCAGCTCTCATCAGTGCATCTGACCCTTCTTTACCAACCTTAACAATCTAGGTAGTGATTTTATTCAAACCCACAGGAGGATGAAGAATAATTATTCAGGCATGCCTTCCCTATTTAATGAAGGCAGAGACAGCAGTGCCTGCAATCATCCTAATTGCTGCTCACAACAGCCACTTCAGCTCACACTCCATCACAACTATATTATCCCTTCTGACCACCTAGGAAAGTACAGACCTTTATTGGGACTGAGCAAAAGCAGAACCTGAGAAACATGGAATTAGTATTGCTACGCTCCAATGATTTCAATAACTTTTCATTATAAAGGATGAAGAGAGAAGACAAGAGCTTGTCATCAGGAAAACGCAAGTGCTTGTTACCAGAAGAAAATTACTGCTCCTATGGATACATTATTACATTCCTAGCCGTGCTATAGTATGATTCTGCCATTGATAAACTATCCAAAGCCACAGTAGTAATCCCTGTTATTTGATGTCTTAAATGCAGATATATCCCCTAACAATGTATGTCTGTGAGTAAAATTCAGAAAGGACAATGATAGGACACAAATAATTCCAAAGAATTCTGGGAGGAATTTTCTGAGGAATTATAAATGTATTTGCAATTTACTATGTGTCTGAACTACTTTGTGAACAGAAAAACTTAAAGGTTCTTGAAGTCTGAGTAGGTCTTTATTAGCACTTTGCTTCACTTTCCGTTGCATCACCTCACTCCGATAAAGTTTGGTTTTGTGAGTATTTTTCCAGATAAAGTTTCGTCAAAAACAGCCATTTACATAAAAGCAAGTATCTGCTGAAAAGATGTTCTCCCAGTTTGTGTTAAAAACTCTTAAAAGATTTTTTTAAATTTTTCACTGACACCAACAGACTCTTAATTACATTTGAGGTCCTTAAGGCTTATATGACACTGTAAAAAACTGAGGAAAATAAAAAAAGAAACTTAGAACCACAAAAGCTATAGTCTTCATACCATTTCAAACACTGGGGCTAAATCCTAAGTTTGTTCAGACACTGAGGCCTAGTTTCAAAAAGCAGACAATGCAGAACCTACATAGCATTTAGGCACCCAAGTCCTTGGCAATGACCCTGTTTAAGCTCAGTGCTTCCCAGGCAGGCATCACACCTGGGGGCTTTAGAGATACACTGCATGTTACCAGCACAGGTCATGGAGCTTCCTGGCAAAGCAGCTGCTGGAGAAGGATTTGTGGAGGTGGCACTTACTGTGTGAGGTGTCTCTGAGGCAAAGCAGCTCCCACTGGTCACACTCAGACAAGAAGAAGCCTTAAGGAGAGTAGTTAAGCCAGGAAGAAATGAGAGACATACCCCAAAAAGCAAAACCTTCCAAGCAGCTTCCAAGTAGCTGACACATTGGTGAGAGTGACTGTAAAGGACTAAAAGAATAACAGTGGGTAGGCTGTGCTTATCTTGAGAATCACAAAACTTAAACTGTACCATGTTAACAAATGGCTGTCAGCATTTTTATAGCTCATTCATCTCCCAGTCCCAGTCTACTGAAATTAGTAATAGAAGAGCCAAGAAGACTGATAAATTAGCACTATTTGCTGGATCTATCACCTATCCTTCAGTGAGTTAGAGCTACGAAATACGGTAATGACACCTGATTATCTCCTCACTGAAAAACTTGTCTAATGCAGTCTCAGTAATAGCCATAAACTATTCTTGGTGAGTGTTTTTCCATTCAGTTCAATAATAAATGTATATGCAAATTAAGAGTTCTAAAAGAAACTAAGAACTTTACATTCACTCCTGTCATTTAACCATACCTTTAAAAGTTCTGTATTTCTTCCTTTCTGCTCCCTCATCTTTGCCACCTTGTGCAGTCACTGCGTTCTGCAGCAAATTATATGACACTTTCCCTTACTGGAATACCTAAATAGCTGCTTTCTGAATTTGTCAAGTCAGTGGGGTGGGTTATGTATTCTTCTTTTTCCCCTCAGTCTGCATTATGTAACCCTAAAACTGCGATTGTTTCTGAAATAAAAAAGATAACCCCAAATTTTGTTTAAAGAGTCTAAGAATTTAAGATCACTTGACTTACAATCTTGTAGTTTTATGCCACCAAGACAAAAAAACGTTCTTGGGACAAACCCACTGTGATCTTTTGGACTCATAGGGGATGCTGTTCACCATATCTGCATCCTTCCTTGTGCTCTGGGCTACTAAAAGCTAGAAAGAAACACAGTATCAGTTAGACCTTCAAGATTGAGTCCCACCATTAAAGGTGGGTGCCCTTAACCCCTATTACACTTTCAGCCACTTAACAGCAAACCTGACCCACTCTAGAACAGATACTGCCACAGATATCTGCTACAAAAGAGTATCAAAGACTAAGATGCCAAGCCAACTAGAGCTGAAGAAATCACACACAGCTAACCCATGTGTAAAGCACCACCAGAGAATTTCAGGAGTTAAATTCTGATTAAACATATTACACCACCTTTATCTGGTAGAGGGACTGGAAGAGCAACTGGAATAAAGCACCTGTAAATTTCACCTGTTGCCTGATAAATAAAGACAAAATATCAAAAAGTACAATATCTGTGAGATGAAAAAGACATCTGATATGCTTAGACTATCTTAGTCCCTATACTACACTATCCTGATGACAAGAGAATAAGAAAAACAGTTTCATTAGAACAGCTTTAGACTGCATTAGCTGGTATGACTTACACAATAGGAAGGAATTTCAGCTTCCCAGAAAGGAAACAAATAGCTGTATCATACAATTACCCTCTCAATGTGCTTAATGAATCATCTTAAGTTATCTTTAGATAAGAACAGTATGTCTACAGAAAATGTTTACAGACAAAAAACATCAAATTAACACTGTGTACCCATATTAACACTATCAGTCTCCATAGTCTCATGAATTAACTGCTAGACATACCAAATGCCAAATCCATTTTTCAGATCTAAAAGAAAAGTTATTTTTAAAACACAAACTACATTCCTTTTCAAAAAATTCACAGCTGAATTAGCCTATAAGCATGCCAGACAACTAGATTTCTGGATTTACCCAACTGTCATATCTTCCCAATTCTAGCAATTCAGTAATTTTTACACTTGCAACCTGGTGCTCTTACATTCTACTGGTGTGAACACTCTACCTGAAAACAATACTAACAGATTACTTACCTTTTGACAAATTATTATTTAAATTGTTGCACTCTACAGGAACAGAGAGTACAATTTTGAACTCTGGTCTAGGAAGTGGCAACTCTTGTTGCTGGCATAGGAAGGATTATGTCTGTTCTGAATTAGTGATGGTTCACAATAAGCATAAAATAATCTAAATATGTACGTTGTATCTGTGATAGAGCATTTTCTACAGCCTTTAGACACGAGTATAATATAATACAGTATCTACTCATTCTGGGAATCTGTATTTATTTTTTACTTAGATTTATGTAGAAAAATGTCCCTTTCACCTTTTTAAAGAGTGTGTTGAGAAACACAGGTCAAACTCTAATTGACACGAATTACGGCTTACCTTCAAATATACTCTAACAACAGGCTTTGAGAAAGACGTTTAAAAGAGGAAAGTGGTGACTTACATTGCTGATGTACTCAGAGAGCAGGTCCTGCAGAGCCTGGCGGATGGCATTGCACTCGACAATGATGCGCTCCCGATGGACATCCCGCGTGCACGACGAGTCGGCCAGCAGAGCTGCTCCACTTATAATGGCTTCCAGGCGTTTCTCTAGGGAGGGCCTTATTGTCTCCTCATTCACTACAAGAGGGTCCAGGACAATTAAATTCTGGAAAAAATAAGGAGTCCGGTTAAGAAAAGTCAGCCCAATTAAGTTATTGCTCTATTTTTTACTTGCATGAACTACAGGGATGTTATGCTTCTTAGACTTGCAACCAGTCCTTCCCACTGGAAGGTCAAAATACTTTTGACCATGGCAGATTCCATTTTCCCCAGTGGGGTTGCTCATAGAGATCATGTGTAGACAAACCCAAATTCTCTCTGCCATTCAGATCTCACTGGTTTCTAAGCCAGTTATCCACGTTATCAAATCCTCAGACCAGAGTCTCGGTTTACAGATCAGGAGAACCTCTGTATTTACCTCAAAAACAGCAGTGCTAGCTCACAGCTGAGAATGTTACATCAGATTACATGAGCAGTCTAATTCTGCTGATTTTTAGCCTAATACTATCTCATGCTGTGACAAAGTCACTACTGCCACCTTGAACAGGTTAAATATATGCAAAGATAAAAACAGTATTTTTTGTTTAATAATTGTTTTTTTGCAAAGGATCTAGATATGTGTCCTTTTGCTTTCCAGTAGGTAGTGTAAATAAAAGCAGACAACTCTTCTGGTTTGATAAAATTAATAACATTTGTGCATCAAGCAAATAAAGAAGAGATGATATTTTCATGAAATGTGAAAGTAAGTATATTTGAGATGTAGCATTTAAAGAAATTCAAACCAGTAATTTTTAATGTAACTGAACATCTGAAACAGTGCCATTAGGGTTCCGATCACCAAACCTGTACTCCAGATACACCCATTCACCTCTTACACCCACACACAGGTAGTTGAAACATTTCAGAAGAAGTATTGAACAAGAAAACTATGCCATATACCCTTGAAGAGGAATTTTTCTGTTATCTATTCTGAGACACTATAAAAAGTCTAAAACTAAGTTCATGGATTTGTTTCAGGAAGTGAAAGGACAGACCATTAAAATGGATTATGGGTCTATCTCAGGTGCTCCTGTGTATCCAGCCAATGCAAGCACAGATTAAGATAAACTATGTATTTCCAAGTTCCTGGATTTTTCAAAACAATGTTCACCTATCCAGATACAATAACAGTGAAAAGGAATTTATGTGTGAGCAGGAAGGAAAGAACCTCATTATTCTGAAGATGAAAAACACAGCTATTTGTATATCCATAAAGCAACATAATAACCTAATTAATTAGCTCCTAATTGAAAGATGTGAAAAATATGTTGATCATGGAAATCTGAATTTTACATCCAACCATGGAACAAAAGACAAACTGGGATGGAACCCTTTGCCCACTCATAATGACAGAGGAAAGCAAACAGGTAGCTCACTGCTTTCATCTTTTGCAGAAGCTGGAGCCAGTAAAGAACTACTCAACATTTAAAAAACATATTAAAAGTATTAGCACAGGACATCCATTTCTTTGTTCTTTTCTTTGCTGAGCTACCTTACAGCAGTGAGAGAATGGCTGGAAGGAAAGGAAAGCTGCACCTCGTTTACCTGGAGGCAAGCTAAGTTACTACACACCTCAAACACAATAGGCATGGCAGGAAATTAGGGAAATGCAGTAAAGGGAATTGTAAAAAAGTGGTATGGAGTGCCATTAAGAAGTCTGAAATGCAGGGGAAATTAATCCCTTTCAGTTGTCACCTTGGTAAGTAAGAATATGTCATTTTAAAAGCAGAATCATATAGTTCTCAGCAGTAGGAAATGTGTTTTCCTGCCTAACAAGTGTTGAGCAACTCCATTATTCTGGTCTTTGTTACTGAAGCTATATCAAGACATAGCAAAATTAAAAATGAAGCAGTTTCGACTTTTATATCTAGCACATTAATATATATATTTGGAAAACAGCATAAAACTATGCAGGTTTTAATGTTTAAATATTTACCTTTAAAAATTATATATAATTAACTTGCACTCAAGAGACAAGTTCACACCAATCTCACACAGGAAAGACTCATCCATAATGATCTTCTAAGAATGACAAGGGAAGATCTAAGATAAAGTCAGTTCCAGAGGTCAGGACATTGACTTCTGATGTGGAAGAAGGTGCTGGAGATTTAAAACTCTGCCTCCCTCAATCACATTAGAGTCCTGAATACCAAAGTGTTCTGTGGTACTTCACATCTGCTGGAGTTTTGCCGCTTGGTCCTGGAGCAGCAACTTCCCTGTCAAGCTCTTATAACCCAACTAAGTCCCCTCAATGCCAGGCTGCACGTACAATGTCCACTGTAATGCAAAACACACCTGCCAAGTACAATAGTGAAGTGTTACTACATTAAAAAACAGCTTCATTGTTTGTGGAAGACTAAGACACACCTAAAGGCTACAGCCAATTAGCCACTTATCTAGAAAAATGACTGCCTTCAAATCTCAGATGAAACAGAGGCAGAAACATCTTCCTTTGGGAGACAGTTTGTAGAAAAGTTCATGCCAAGGTGGACCAATAGCTCTGGCAAAAAAGCTCCTGTGATCCATCACTAAATGATCAGAAAAATCTAGGCAACAGTAAACAGGAAAATACGAGTTAAGACTCTGCCCACAGATTCAATTCTTCAAGCAATTTCATCAATTATCTGTAAGTAAATCTATGCAAAAAAGACCCAGTGAGGAGACCCCTATGCAACAAGTAGTCCTGCAGTTTTGCTTTGAGAAGCTAAACAGTGCTCAGCTACCTGAGCCCTTAAGCTTAAAGTGAGCATTTAAAAGGAGTGATTAGATCCCTATTTTCTCCCTCCATGGACTTCTGATACATGAAAAAGAGAGATCATGGGTATCCAGAAACCTAGTTCTATTTCCTGAAGTGTTGGACTGATTTACAGCCTTTTGACAGCATTAAAGGACCACAGATCAGCTGATCACGCTGACAGAGTCAGGTGTGTAAGACCTGGATCATTTAGTGAGAAATCACTTTACATTCACAAGATGCAAGAGATGTGAAAGGCATCAGTTCACCTCCACCCACACACTCTTTTCACAGACCTTAATATGCAATTAAATTTTTAAAGTTCCAATTTTGTGTTTATTTATCAGTGGTGAGGTAGTTATCTGGAGCCTTTCAGAAGAACTTTTGAGAATCTACTGATTTACGGGTTAGCTGTTCTAATTTTACTGGTGGTTTCCTCACCTGTAAATCTTTAATAACTTTCCCGCTGCCAGCCCTGGCAAAGGAAGAATGGCATTGCAAAATATCTAGATACTAGATCATTGGGTAGGCTCTGTGATACATTTCCACACTATAAACATTTAATGAGATTTGTTCCAAACAGACTATTTACTACATCAATCTATTTCATGGCACTGCATTTGCAACAAGAAGATAGAGCAAAGGTTATTTCAGGTCCTTAGCCAATAGAACTTTCTAGTAAAAAAAGAAGAGTGCAACCATCTAATTCCTAAAATCATTTTAAGTTAAATATTCCATAAATTCTGCTTTATCTAACTCACACGGCTTCAATTCCCATTTGTGGTACTTAGGTAAAAATATATTTAAAACTCCATAAACAAATGTTTTTTTAAAACAGTCAGATTTCTGTGTTCTTATGTCTCCAAATAAAAACAAATTCAATACAAAATACTACTTTTTCCATTTTCTGATTATCACAAACCTCAAATTTTAGAACTATAATAAATTTTATTATGTTTTTTAAATTATTTAAATGGTACTGCTCACATACGGTCAAGATTAATTCATCTGAGGTCAGAAAATGCAACATTTTTGCCAAATCTTAAAAAAAATTCATAAGTAAACCAGGTAAATAATAGCTCTCATTTAAAGTACACATTTGTCATTCAGAGTTTCATTGTAACAAATCATTACTCTTAAATGTTTCTTTTTTTTTCTGTTTATTAAGAAAATAGATTAGAAACTATAATTTTAAAACCCAGTGTGAGAAGCAAGTAGGCATGACAGGTAATGTGCTATTGCAGCCTGTTCCTTTAGGGGGAAAAAAACCTGTCATGTTCAATTTCAAGCACGACTGAGAGGTCTGCCACCACCAAATTTGTGTGATATTTCAGTGTATTTCTTTAATCTTCCATTGAAAATTTTAGGCAAAGTCTATGACCATCAGTCATAACACCAATTCTTCTGAAAATGTATCAACAATATTGGAGTTCTGAGACTGAGACTAGCTAAGCCCAAGAATTTACAATCAAACCCACAAACATTTGCAAATGTGTTTGGAAACATTCACTCCTGTTGTTGATCTGGGCCTCTATCAGTTACACCAGAAAGGACCGTGGTCTGTAATCCCATCTACAGGAGATCTTGGATCATTTTTGGCAGGACAATGGAAAATTACTCTGGTAAGAGCCAGAGCAGCCACAAGAAAAGGGAGAAGCTCCGTACAAAAGCTTTGGATGAGGCCAGGAGTGGAGAAAGAACTGCCTTTCTCCAAGTATTTTCTGCAATAATGGAAGCAGAAATACAGAATTTGTGACAGCACATTGGTTACGTCACTTTATTTAATAATAAGCAGACAAGGTTTCTAAATTGTTCGGTTATATAAATTACAGAATGACAGAGGAAAGGACTCCAGCTTGTGTGGTACTGGTTCAAACTCAGTCAAGGCAGCAGTGATCACTGTCAGCTGATAATCACTGATTAGGAAACTAAACTCATGGCTTCTGCCCTCTTACCAAGGACCCATCTGCCTCCAGCACTAGCAACACTTGGAACTAACTCTTCCCTGCTGCTCCAATGAAGCCAAATGTTGAACACACTGGAGAGTTAATTCCAAATTCTTCTGAAGGAAGTGATCCCTCTTAATGAAACAATTCCAAGTGATACTATTTAGACTCAGATTAAGCAGAGCCTTTCTAATGCCCTTAGGCCCATCACTTATGTTATCAATAGCTATTTAAAAAACAACAACAACACTTTTCCAAAAACATTGTAGTCTCACAAGTTTACATACCTCAAGCTCATCAAGTGCACTTCCAAGAGTAGCTGTGTGAGATGTAGGTTGTTCCATTTTATTTCCAACTCCTTGGGAAGCATTAGAAATTGCATTGAGAGCACTCTGTATTTCATTGCAAATTGAATCCTTGCTGGCTGTAAGGGATGCAACATCTGAATGTTCCAAACAAGCTGAACATATTGAATGGAGGAAAGAGGAATTTTCCTTCAGGGATGCACGTGCTGCAGCAATCTCATCTCGCTGATCGCTAGATTTCAAATCCTGTCAGCAAGAGAACATGCTGTTTATTTCCAAAAGCACTTCAAAACTGACAAGTAATGTATAAACAATTTTTTTCCTATCTCTACTCTGTTTAAGGAAACATCAAGTTAAATTCATCAAAGATTGTGAAAATAGGCTATAACAGTACTTACAACTGAATCATCTTTATGCCATGAGAAATGAACCAAGTCTGTGTAAAACAACCACAATTTTTATTGTGCCTTACAACCAGCACCATGAACTGTCCGCGTCTTGTTTATTTTTAAGTAGTTTTCCTCTGAGAAAATTGGCCTGGAAATTAGCTGTCTTTCCTCCCAGACATGTCTTTCTTCATAAGCAATGGAGGACAGAGGTGCAGACAGAGTTAAGTAAGGCATTGTATAATTGTTGCATCTAAACAAATTTCCTGTGTTTTCTTGCCTGTCCCACCAGCCTATGTCTCGAGCACAATGCAGAAACGAACAGCAGGTCAGGGTTGAGAATCCTGCACTCCTGGGAAATGGGAAGCATGGAACATGTGCAAATTAAAAATGTGCTTGAGAGAAGCCATATCTGAAGCCTTACTGCCTGTTTCTCCTCTCTTCCTGCTGTGTACACACTTAAAGCAACTCAGGGATCCTACCACATTCTTCTTCCTCCCTTCTCCACCCCTATCTTCTTGAAACCCCACTGCCTCCCACCAGCCCAGACAACACAGGACACACAGCTGGACAGAGCTACTGAGGCAAATGTAACTGGCTCCAGGAATCAAGCCTGGAAGCTGTTATATGGAAAGCTGAAAGTTATATGGACTTTGGGGCAACCACACAGTCAACATCAGGATTGTAAGGAGCCTCCTGTCCCATTATATTTTATTCCAGACATTGTCCCACTCTCCTTCTACATCTTGTCCCTTTGAAAAAACACTGGTAGATATTTGCAAAATGGCTTGGGTGAAGGAGATAGTTAAATTCAGGGGGAAATGAAAAAGGAAGGGAAAATAGCACATCAGAGCCTGTGGCACCAGTTTCAAAAAATGAGAAGAGGTACAATGAAGAATGAACAACAAAATGCACACAAAACTTCTCAAAAGCCTACCCTAAAGCAAGCTGAAGTCCAATTATTTTTCCTTTGCATTGCATCAGTCTCCATATGCATTATTTACAAAAGCATCACAGTATCCACTTCTCACTGCATAAAGTTTGTAAGTTTATGGTTGAAGAAAAGAGCATTTGCTATTAAATGAACCAGTCCTATGTTTTTAAAACCTCATTTACTCCAAGATATGCATTGGACCTCAGATTGCATCTTACTTCCTCAGGCTAACTTGGAAATCTCAGGCATACAGTAAAAGCCAAACAAACAAACAAATAAGAGAGAGAGTTGGAGCTTTAAACAGAGTCAGAGTGGTTTAACCAGCTGCTATCTGAATCAGAAAACTGAGTTTTCTTGAGTGTATTAACACATAGCATATTTTAACATTTTTAATAAACCAATACATCAGTGAATCACCACTGTGCAAGAATGACTTCACTGCCCAGTGTTTTCAAATCCAAATACTACTGCACCTCCAACCTCAGTAAAGTATCTGCATTTTTTCCAGCGCACTGGACTTTTTCAGTAAAGAGTGTTATTTATTTTTAAACACAGGCTCTTTCTCTAAGTAGTGAATCTATCTTTCCTACAATTATATTACAACACAGCAGACTGCCCTCTTTTCCCCTGTGCTGCAAGGAAGCCACAGACCTCGAGATACAAAGGGAAGTCACCACAATACTTCAGTCTAGCCACCTTCTATTATTAACCATTTCTTACTTTGCTGCATCCTACATGGATGGTCAAACCTGGAAGTCCTTCAAAATTACTTTTTCCCTCTAAAACAGTACTATCTAAGCAGGATCAAGGGGTTCAGAAGAAATCCCAAACTGATAAGCCAGTAGCACAAAGCTGGTAACAGCAGTCAGTGACACAGCATCTGGAAACATGTCTGGAAACAGTCAAAAAGGTGCAACAAGTTCATGTTTTTAAGTAAACACAGAATACTTTCACACAGTACTGTGTAGAGATTTAGAGTCATGGCACTGGTAAATTCACTTGTGAACAGCCTCACTTTTGTTCAATAACATGTTTAAAATTTAAAGAAAAGCTTAGACCCATCACTAATTTGTTGTTCAGCTCTGAGCCTTCGGCAGCCACCAAAGAAGCTGTAGGGTCATTGTTCCTTTCCATCTTGAGGAAGAATTAGTTCCTTGAGACTTTTCATGTGAAAAGGAAGAAACAGATGATAATCTTAGACCGATCTTCTGCATAAATGGACCAAAAATACCTAAAATTGAGTGATTTCTCTATCAAACCTTTGCATATGTGGGTTATCAGAATAACATAACTAGTTCTTTGAAGAAGGAAGTTAGTCTCTACAAACATCTGCAGTTCACCCAGTTACTTCACTGAACTTTAGCCTATTTTATATTTTATTGTCATAGTTTACCACTTTTCTCTTATTCCAAGTTCTTTTTAGACTAGTAGACTGTGTCCACTGGTCTGACATGTTTTTCCATACTAAGTCAGATATGTTATATGAGACCAGCTGAGATCACAGTCAATCCAACCACTGCTGACCTAAGAGGCCCAGTACAGTGACACTTCCTCAGGTTGCTGTCCCAGCCCTACCAGGACGTACTTCTATGTCTTTCTTATACCTGACTGTCCCTCACAAGAAGGAGAATGAATGGAGAGTCCCAGATTCTCAGCTGTTGATTGTTCCAGCTAAACATGGTGAATGGAAAATTTGAAAACCACGTTCATAGTTAAGCATTGGTTGCAGTCCTTCAACAATAAGAAAAAAAAGGGGCAAAATAAACCCTGTTTATTTTCCTGTTCCACATAATATATCTAAGGTTTGACAGCACAAAACCATAGGTAGCCAGCTCTTTTTCCCTGAGCATTCCCATTAGCACGACCTATGGGGTCTGGACATCACCATGGGTACAAATCAAACAGCCCTATTCTGCACCAGCTGCAGTCAACACCAGCTTCACACAGACAACTTCAAACAAAGTGCACTGCCCTTCCCCAGCTTGCTCTCTTCAGAGACAGATGTTATTGAACCAAATTCTGTATCCAGAAAAAAACACAGACATACAAACATCCACAATTTCATACTACAAAGAACTAGGGGACAATATCATGAGTTTTTATCACAGCTTAAACCTGGGCTTTAGCATTCAGCTTTCAGTCAAAACTGACTGCCAAATTGCATGCAGTTGGTGAATCAAAGGCAATAATAAAGCTCAAACTTTTCCAAGTGCATTCATACACTGTTCATCCGGGCAAGGCTCCAGTTTATATATTTCATAAGTACTGTGTTGTTCTATTCAGTGGTAGAATGTATCTCACAGACAAGAAAGTGAAAAAGATCTGGGGCTGATACCGACCGCCAGGTCCCTCTCAGCTGTGTCAGTTCTGCCAAGAGAACAGTTTCACATGGGTTTTAGGTCTTACACCCACCCCTCAGGGCCAGCCTGGTCTGGGAGCCGCATCCACACTCACATGAGGGCCTACAGCCCCAGTTGCACACACCCTGGGATGCTCAGTCCCTCTCCAAACACTGCCATAAGGCTGCTGGGCTCCAGCTCAGCCACAGCTGCCTCTGCCCGGCCACAGCCCCAGCCTACAGATTGAGCTCCTGAGTTCCACCTGGCCCTGTCACCACAGGCCTTCTGAGATACCACTGTGCTGTCTCCTACCTGGATCCATGGACTGACCTCACAGCTTGTCCTCTCCTGACCTACCCAATCACACAGACTTTCCTGAGACACCACTAGATCGTACATTTGTGCTACACTGACTTCCAAAGTTCCCCGTACAGGCATTCACAGTGACTTCACTGAGACAGTTTGCCAGTAAATTCAGAACAGCACTGAACCACAGGAATTTGTTTTAACACACCTTTGTGCATTTATCATTGACTGAATCAAAAAACTGCCATTACCCCTAGAAAGCAAAGTAGTAGATCTTTTGGCATTATAGAAACGGAGACTCTGGAAACCCTTCCTGAAGACATCTCATCTGCTCCTTTACAGAGAATACCTGTGTACCCAAAGCCAGTTCATTTGCATTTTGTTTGTCATGGGTTTCCAGAGATTATTCCAGTCCAAACAGGTAGATGAAATAAATGAATACTGTTACACTTCAGAACCATAAAAATTTTTCCTTTCTCATTTCTTTTTTTCTGATAGACAGGCAACCCAGAAACACTGACAATCCCCAAAACAACAGTGTACAGAAATACCATATACATGAAATACATATATTCTGCATGGCTAAAACTGTAGGCAGTTCATTTGCATCAGCCATATGCAGGAATACACAAATGTGAAGTGTTAAAATATAAATCCATGCCAATGTTAGTCATAAGACTAAACTTTAAGCAGCATCCTTTGCCTCTAAGATGACTCAGCAGTCTTTATAAATCCATATTTTTCAGCCAAATTAGAGCAAGCAGGAAATGGATTGACAGGACTGAGGTTCCCAGCAGAACTTTGTATCTATACCTTCGCATCTTAAAGTCTGCCAAAGAGCCTGCCCACTCTCATAAGTATGAAAAACAAACATTAAGTATAAATAATTGAGTCTTCCTTTTCTCTGCTTTAACTTGGTCAAGAGGAGATTCAGGATGAGTTCACCACCAAATTTTCAACAGTGCAAATGGGAAGCCAAACTGTAAAATGTTTCAGAAAAAAGTCTTAACCATGAAACAAACCAAAAGGCTCCAGCTGCTGTCTTCTCAAGCCTGCCCCAAGGAGATAGAGTTTATTCTACCTACAATGTTGTTTTTCTGAGTGCAATGCTGGAAATACATAATGAAGCCTTAGCTTCAAACAACAGTCCTCAATCCCAGGAAACATCAAGATTACAGGTATTTCATAGCAGGGAACAGGCTGTGGGATGCTCTTTACCTTCTCCTACTGTGTTTGGCTGTGCCAGGGTTGCAAAGAAAACAAGCTTAATTTTACATTCAG